TTATGAAGGAAAACATCTAACTGGGTCTGGCTTACAGTTTTAGAAGTTCAGTCCATTATCATCATGGCAAGAAGCATGGCAGCATGCAGGCAGACATGATGCTGGAGGAGCTGAGAGTTTTACACCTTGATCCAAAGGCAACCAAGAAAGATTGTTTTCTGCAGGCAGCCAAGAGGAGGGTCTCTTCTACATTGCATGGAGTCTGAGCATAGGAGCCCTCAAAGTCTGCTTACACAGTGACACACTTCCTCCAACAAGGCAACATCTCCTAATAGTGCCACTCCCCATGGACTAAGTATATTCAAATCACCACAGAGTTATTTCAGTTTCAAGTCTATCAGATTTGAGAATAGTTATTCAAGTTTGTTTTTGTTTCCCATTTGTTTGATCAGTTAATTTCCATGTTTCCACGCTCATCCCCACCCTCAAATAAGGCCTTTAATTTTTTTTGTTTGTTTGTTTTTCAAGACAGGATTTCTCTGTATAGCCCTGGCTGTTCTGGAACTCACTTTGTAGACCAGGCTGGCCTCAAACTCAGAAATCTGCCTGCTTCTGCTTCCCAAGTGCTGGGATAAAAGGCGTGAGCCACCACTGCCAGGCAGCCTTTAATTCTTTAAGAGAATTATAGTGGCTTCTGATTCCAGTCAGTCTGTACTCTTTAAATGATGAAGAGACTATTTGCATTTAATGCCATTATTGAATTTGCTATTTCTATTTACTGTTTCATTTTTGTAGGGTAGGTATTAGGGATTTTCTGGTATACTCTGTTGGACTTCTACTACTTCTTAGATTTTCTTTGCTCACTTATTTCTTTCATGAAATATTTTTTGCATTCTGGTGGATGAAACCTTTGCAGTTTCTTCTAAGTCTTTTCTTTGGTACTAGTTTGAACTAAGTTGCCTTTCTTTGCACTTATCTCGAGATGTTATTTCTCTATTTTAAATGCTTTTGCTGGGTATGCCAATGGATATTGGGAAAACCAATACTTAGGGTTCAAAATACATCATCCCATATTTTTGATTTTATCATTGAAAACAGTTAACTTCATAGTAAACATGAGTAAATTTTCTCCTTACGGCACTCAACATTCTTTGCTTGGTAGTTTTGCCACGTTGACTATGACTTACTGAGTGGTCCTCTGGTTACGTCTAAATGGGATTATAAATTCTTATGTTTGACTACCCATTTTCTGTCCAGGTTTGTGGACTTTTCTGCTATAATCTCTTTGAATAAATTGTTTTATCCCATTCCAATGCATGGATACCAGGAGACCGCTTGCATCTCAGTACACTAGTGTGGTCTGAGGCAAAGTGAGAGTAGTGTCCCTCAAGTAACCTTAGAGTATCTGTGGAGAATCTCAGTTCAGACTTCATAATTGTCCGTCTCTGCAGCTCGTTCTATTCTTTCTGCACACACTGCATTTACACAGCCCTGGGTGCATCTCTGCAGCCTGGGTGGTGCTCTTCAGGTTGCTGTTCTAATCTGGCCTGTGTCTGGGAGCAGGTAGCTACTGCTGACCCTGACCTAGGTATAAACAGTATGCTATGGGCTTGGCTGTTGTTGTTGTTGTTTGTATTTGTGGAGAAAATACCATGAAGGCTGATCTCTATTTTCTGATAAGACTTGACTTTTTTCAATTCTGACTCTTCTTGTACACTAATCTCATGGATATAGCTACTAGTTGATGATCTTACCTGAAGTCTTGATTGTTGAGATCTTTGTGATTCTGTTTCTTGAGTTGACTCACTGAAGGCCTGCCTATCACACTTGCTGTGCCATCCTAGCAGGAATGGCCTCAGCATTTGTATATTTCGATATTGTAGGCTCAGTCATTTCATTTTTGGGGTAAAGATTAAAGATAAAATATTTCCTTTACACTTGAAAATTCTAGGCAGCAACAATCCAGTTCCTCTGATCTGGTAGAGAAGGAATAAGTCTTCATAGTACCCATTTCCTCTGAGTAACAGAGTATTTCAGAAGGTCTTAGCCAATTTATTCAGTTCTTATACAAGAGACTGGAAAGATAATTTCTAAATTTAAGTTAATCTAAAGCACAGATAAAACAAATACTATTTAAATTTTAATGTCCACAAACTAACATTTTGTATTGCTATGTGAGGTAAAAATCTAAAGACTACTTTTACTTTGACAAATGAAAATACTGAAAGACACTTAAGATGTCATCTAAACTATGTTTGTGTGTCCTGATGTTATCTAACAGGAACACAAAGAACAATAGTCTAATCTAATAGTGTGTAGTGGGGGGACAGATTTTAAAACAAAAAGTTTGCAAATTATACCTTAGAGTCTTCTTCCAATTCTACCAGGACAATTCACACTGTACAAAGTTGAAGCTCAGGGTATTTACTGAATTTAAAAAGAAAAAAAGTAGCAATGTAACAAGTTAGCTCAGAGATAGAGCAGCACTCAGGGCAGGCAGCAGAGACCTTGGTGGGGGGATTTCTTATTTTTATAGGAAACTTTACTTTCAAGAAGACCTCATGACCAAAATGAAAGAAACTGAAATGCTTTACCCAAATTTATTATTCACAGTATAAAACTTACTGGGAGTAATTAAAAAAAAAAAAAACAGAAGCTTGTTCTTGGGTTGACAAATTAAAACCTTCTGATTCAGTGTTATGACCTGCTAAGTAGACTGTAAAGAAGATATTAACATTAGATTGAGGCTTCATTAAAAGTAAATTTGTTTCTCTAAACATTGAATAGAATTTAATTGTGTGTGTGTGTACACTGTAGAAATACACTACATTAGTAACATTTGTGAAAGTGAATTTGTCCTTTCTACCTAGCTGTACTAATTTAGTTTTTCTAGGTTCTGAATCCTGTTGAAACAGTGGTTAAATTGATACAGAGACCACTCGATAAACCTCAAGAAGTCAGAGATACAGTAGTCATGAGAAACTGTCATACATCACAGATTACACCAAAGAACAGATATCCTGGTATGAGTATAAAGTCAGCTTGGTTCTTTTGTCAGAACGGCCTAAATGTGAAAGAAAATCTTATACACACAATCAAAGTGAGCTGTTATTTCTTTTGGTGTGTGGACAAACTAGTCCACATCGCTCCAGGAATACAATGGAAATACACAATTTCTGACAAAAGGGGGACTGTTAGGTATAAAACATAACTTATATGGTAAATGAGATTTAAAAATATAAAAAGGAAAAACAATTTCACTCCTTTTCCCCCTAGAAAAACTATGAGTAAAAACTTAAGGCCACAACTCATTATGTATGAAATGGTCAACTCAAAGGGAGCTCAGGCTCGCCGAATGAAAGAACTCTCCGCAGTCAGTATTTCTCTGTGGGACTGTTAACTGCAGGGTGGCATTTTATTTGACAGCATGGACTTTGTACATGTCCATTTTCAGTGCCTTGAAAACCAAACAATTTAAAAGTTAGCAGCAGTTTCTGCAAGGTACAAAAATACACATTTGTTACATAACACGGTAATAAAATTTGTCAAGATCTATTATACAAACTCGTAGCATTTGAGATAATCAGCCTAATATATTATAGATTGATGGAGTCTAATAAAACGACATGTCTGTCTTCATACAATACTTTACAGCAATATTAACAGACTATTCACATTAAGCATCCTGGGAGCATCTACGGAAACAGAGTCAGAATGGTTGGTGGAGAACCTTACCAACTATTTTCTTCTATGCTTCAAAATGGGTGGATGAAGTTTTACTGGCCATTATGAAAGGAGGTGGGGGTGGGGGCGGAGGGAAGAAAAGCCAGGACACTTTATTTTGTTTAGAAGACATTTCTTACAGAGAGACAATCTAAGCCATAAGATCTTCATTCACATCTTGCAGTTTTGACAGTAGTATGCTCTAAAGGGAAGAGTTGACCTGCCAACTTTATATACCTATACCACAAAAGATACATATGGATATGGAAGAGTCTTTGTATGCAAGTGGTTGGTTACATCTTGTTGGGATTGCCAAGTGTCATGTAGGAGCTCAATGGACACAGAGTTTTAAAATTAATTATGATTAGGGAGAACAGGCTATGCCTGAGAGGTAGGTGGCATTTCAGTATTTAATACTGAGATAAGTCCTTATCCTTATCCTACAATGTGATGTTCAGGAGAAGGGGACATCTGTCATGAGTTTCCTGGTGACTGCTAGGAATAATAATCTGGAAGAAGCTAGTTTTTGAGTGTATTTTTTTATACAGAGATTGAAGAGATCACATAGACTCTAGGAAACTTCTAATATGTGAGCGTCTCAAATGAAGGAAGATGCACATCTACCTTAGGGTGTATCCTTCCATTTCATCCCAGCTGGGGAAGGAGACCTACTGATGTAGCCTTGAAGGTAAAGAGAGAGGACAAAGGTCCATGATAAACTGCTTGGGTCTAAACTTTAATATTTATGAACTAAAAGTCATTTGGAAAAAGTAGAGAACTTCAGCAATTAAATCCAAAGGCAGTGGCCATCAGAGACAGCCCAACGGCAACATCGTGGTGTGGTCTACTCAATAATCTCTTACAGTCTGCCAATCTCTAATCACTAACAATCTGTAGAATGAAAGAATAATTAATAGCTGTCCCCTTTCTCCTCTTGGCTGACTATAATCGAACAAGGGCTACAGAGAAACATTTTCCACAGGGATGCCATATTGATAAATACTGCTTGTGGAACCAAGAAGGGAGCACTGTTGCAGGAAACTGCCATTTTTCAAAATGAGAAAAGTGTGACTTACAAAGAGAAGTTTCACACAGTAACTGGCCATTAAGTCTAAGCCAGCGGCCATTTTCTGTGATATCCTGTGTATTGCAGGACCCAGCTTCCTGATCTGGATGCATCTCTGCACACATTTGCTTACTGATATCAGCAAGACACAATCAAATGAATGTTGCTACCAACACCAGCATCTCTTGTTTCTCTAAAGTCTTGCTTCTGAGATTAGTCAGCCAGGGAAAACTGACCTCGAGATTAGTTTCTCTAATTCTTATGTGGCTAGTCTTCTGCACTACGAGAGCGCATGCTGTCAGCAGGTTCCTTTATGGTGGGATAAGTTACATTCCCGGAACACAGGTTTGTTGCATGGGGAATGTGTGAAGGACACTAAAATGGGCAAACTCTTCCTTCCTTGTCTTTGTATCTTCATTTCTGAAAGATGTATGTGAATGCACTCAACCCTAATAGAAAAACAACAACAAAAACCAACCAAGCTGCCCGATTACAGGCTGTGCTGTCCCGGCACCCATGGCTCTTTACCCACTATTTTTCTCTACTCTGCCTTTATCATGAGCTGGTCCCTAAAATGACCCAGTGAAGACACATGACTAAGAACAGCCACAGAAATGGCCACTGACTTGGCTTCAGGGACAGGTTTTTACATGATTTCCTTAGTACATGCTTTTCTGAGCAGCTCAGTGGCCCTTTTTCTTGCCTGCTTATTCCATGGTGTGAAGATGGTTTCTCTCTTCCCCTCTATGGGTCACTGATGCTGCATTTAAGGTACTCTGGTCCTCTCAAGACACCTGAACTCTCAGACTGCTGACATGAGCAGGCATCTTCTACAAAGGACACTTCCTCTACCCTTCTGTCAGTATCCAAGAATCTCAGAAAAGGACTTAACCCATATTTTAATAGGAAGAGCCTTTCAAAACTTTAGATCATAAAACGTCTCAACAAAGTTTTGCCACATAATCTCAACAAAGAAACTGTCATATTAGCAATGATTGTCCTTGTGCTACCTACCCTAGGTGTCTTATGAACAGGGTTATTTAATTACTGTCTGTGTTTTTATTGGCCCAGTTCTTGTTCTTAAAGACATAAGATTATTTTGATATCAAGTTCTTATTGTAGGTAACAGTCTTTGGTTAAATGTCTGTCCCCGTCATTGAAACTGTCGTAGATCCTGCACCTGGGTTGGCCACATCCTCCACAGTCTCCCGACTTGAAGAGGCTCCTTCCCAAAGGTTATCACAAGGGTACTGTCCTACACTTTCTTCTCCCTCATGCAACTTCATACAAGGCTTGAGTATGCTTTCCACTAGGCTGAATGGAGAGCTGGTGTGTTGCTCTGAGTCCTGACAGGCATAAGAACTGAACCCACAGGCTGTCTGTCCAGGTCTTTCATCTACCCGTAGGTGTATGTCATCCAGACTCTCTTGTAGAGAGTCAGCCTCTGGGGTACCGGAAGCACAAGAAGGTAACTCCAGAGGTTCTTTTAGGGAACACACTTTCCTGTCTTCTGGTCTGGCTGCTTTTGTTTTCTTTTTGAGGGACCAGTTTTTTAAAGTGACCAAACCACTTCTCAACCATGCGCTGGGGTGAAGAGTTACAGAATGCATTTGGGACGGCTGCTCCGTGGTACCCTTTCTTAAATAAGCTAGGTGGCTGCTGGCCTGCCCCATGGAGGGACCAGGCATTCCAGGAATGAGGCTGGGACTGTCAAAGTCTGAAGAAAGCTCTTCCTGTTTTCTCTGAGCCTGGAAAGTGCAATCTATTGGAGAGGAAGTTTCGGTGGGCATAAACACAGAATGTTCAGAGATCTGAGAGAAAGCGCTGTCCTGGGAGCTTACCGAGGAGCCCGATGGAGATGTGCCTGGGGAGGATAAGCTCGAATAGCTAGCCCTCGGGCAAAGGTTTAGTCTTGGGGGCAAAACTTTCTCAGTGCTTTGGTGCATGCCGCTGCTCTTGCCCACCTCAATGCCCATGACCAAACTCTGATTAATGAGCTTCTGCCCCTCGATTTGCAAAGACTTATGCCTTTTGAGATAATCCTCTTCTCCATGCAAGAGGCCAGCCTCACAGCTAGTTTTATTTTGTTTCTTTGAATAGATCCCCCTGAGATAGGACAGCTTGTAGTTCTGGTCATCTATGCTGGGTTCTGAACAGCGCCGATGATGTACCCGTGAGCTCTTCTGGGCATCTGCTATGTGCCGTGGGGAGAACCTGCATGTATCTTCATCAAAGGGTTGCTTCCTGGAATGATCCTGGGAGGATGCATGGCTGTAAGATGCCACAGAAATGGCCACTGGCTTGGACTTAGTGAAAGGTGTCACTTGATTTCCTTCATGACCAGACAAGCTTTTCTTCTTAATGTTTTCATTAGTAGTGTTTCTCTTGCTGACATCAGTGCTTGTCACTGAACTCTGTTTAAAACACATCTTATCCCCTTTCTTCTGAGTCTGCGTCTGCTTCAGGTAATCTTCATCTTTTCTAGAGAGTACAGCATCACAGCTGGACTTGCGTAGCTTTTTCTGGTAAAATTCCCGGAGATAGGAAAGCTTTGTGTCTACATAGTCAATGCTGGGTTCTGAGGAACGCCGGTGCCGCCGCAGGACTTTTGGGGCATCTGCTGCCGTTGCAGGCAGGCAGCTGGGTGTATCCGGGCCAGCTGGGGCCCTAGCATGCTCTCCCATTGAAACCTTCCTATAGGCTACGAAAACATTCACTGGCTTGGGCTCCAGAGGTTGTTTTATTTGAATGTGGTCATCTTTAGACTGATCTAAGTCAAAGTTGCTCAGGGTTAAAAGGCCTTCTACCTCAGGCTGTTCAAGGTCATAGTCGCTGAGTGTTAAGACAGAGTCCATGCTCCTGCTCCCCTGGCCAAGTGTTTTGAGCAGGTCACTGCATGGAGCGTCGGCATCCTCATGGAGCTCGTTCTCTAAGCTGTCATAGGAGGAGTCGTTCATTTGGAAGCAAGACATATCTGTGGGCAGAAATTAAATCATGGTTAACACTCTTAAAGAGCCAGCCATGCTGCTTCTCTGCCATTTTCATGACTAGAGTTCAAACTCCTACCCCCGAGAAAAAGAGAAACCTTAAAAGAATTTACAGAGTTTGTGTGTGGAGGGAGTGACACATGTAGGCCAATGCTTGTGGAAGGAGGTCAGAGGATTATTTGCTGAAATTGGTTCTTTCCTTTTACCATGTTGGTCCTCAGCAACAGGGAATTAAACTCCTGCTGTCATGCCCGAGTGTGGGTGGGGTGTAGCTCCTTCCCTCAACAAGCCACCTCGGGAGTCTTTTCATCCTCCCAAATGTTAGTGCTCACGATAGGAATCTTCTAGACTCCCCTCGGTTTCTAGTGGAGTGACTTTTTAAGGTAAGGGTTTCTCAAAGCAAGGGTTTACATCATAAAATGAAGAAATGATAAAAAATAAATGAACTAGTTTCATGCTGACCTGGGTTCTGAGTAAGAGTCTGTCTTCTAGCATGGATGTGTTGTATACAGTTATACAAGATACACGCCAGTCTCCTTAAAACTTTTTATAAAGCTATTTTAAGTTAGGCTATTGCTTTGCTTGACTCTTATGATTATTGTAATTAAATATTATTTATATTTCATAGATGAAATACTGATGCATGCTGGCACAGAATTATGGACTGAAGGCAGCATAGTAGTATTGGAAGTAAGGAAGTTACATTATGTAGGTAGTATGTCTGTGAATTCAGAACCCTCCCCCACCCCTAACCTCAAAGATGCTAGTTGTTTCAAGCTGGGTTACAGGCTCTGGGACAACCAGCCTCATCATCTTCACAGACAAATACCTAGTTCTTCACAGTACCTGGGGTGTGTTCTCTGTTGCTTCTCTCAGAAAGCTCCCCCAAGAGAGAAGTGATTTCTTCTCCAAATACCCTACAGCAGTTTTCAATCAGAAATTGTATAAGAAGAGAAACCTGTGCCGAATGGAGAGAATTAAGCATTATTATCCACAGAATCCGTTTATTACGTCACACTTCATACACACATCCTAATCTTAACCACAAAATGAAAAAGAATAGGGAAAAGTATATGAAGGGATACAAAAGCCTCACCGCCAACTGCCAATACTACAGTCTGGATACAGAACTGGATCAGGGTCAGCAGACAACACTCATCTGTGGCACTGGTGTAACACTAATGCTTTAGATCACCAGTGCTGCATTTTAGACCAGGGCAATTTCAAGCATTCTTCATAGAGTGTTTTGGGTGCAGAATTATTCTTTGTTATTCAAGTTTACCAAATATCTGTAATAAGGACTTGCACAAGGATTTCTTGTATAAGGGGCAGACTGCTATAATTTTGGAAGAAGGCTTCTCTGGGGGTCCAGAAGGAAGGAGAGGGATAGGAAGAAAGCAAGGAAACCTGGACAATCTCTGAATTCTCTTAGCATGGCTCCCTACCAGACACTCTAAGCTGCAGATGAGGTCTCTGTGCTGCCACTGAGATGAATAAGAACTGACCAATGGTTTCTCTGCACCAGCAGCTGAGAAATGGTGCGAAGGAAGCGAACTGGTGCCTCAAACCCCTGATCAACAGCCAGGCACTACGAGGGTGGGATCTCAGTCTCCACTGTATCACTGGAAAGGAATCACTGGAAGGAACTTCTCTCAGGACTGTGTATCTGGCAAATGTGGGTGCTGAGAACTGAACCCAGGCTTGTTTGAACTCAAAGGCCTTCGTTTTTAAAAATGCTTTCCTAGCCCTTGTTCAGCCTCCTGTGAAGGAAAATCTAATTTACAACTGATATATTTTTCCCCTCTCCCTCTATTTGATATCAACTTGCAATAATCTACCAGGACAGAATGGTCAATAAACCCGCATAAGGAAGATGACTTTAGCCCACCTAAGAAACTGTGTTTAAGAACACTGTGAATTTCAAATGTATCAAAATGGGGAGTGAGGGTTCGGGACATAAGAATGAAAAAATGTCATTACCTTTTTCGTAAATTCATTTTCTAACTCTGGACTGGAGGAAGCAGGAGGCCAAAGAATGCTTGGAGCGATACACACTGCTAAGTTAAATGCAGTCATCTGATTAGATAAGGAATGTTGTTCAATGTTGTGTAATACCCCAAACAGATACCTTAGGAAAACAACATTGGCTCTGGGAAGCTGATCTAAGAGCCTAAAGACAGAAAAATGCAGGACGTTTTATTAAGAAACTTGTAAAGACAGGCACCCCTCACTTCACCTGCATGGGAAACCATGCAAATCAAACAGGCACACCAAGAGCACAGTGCAGATGGATTAGCATCACAGCTGGTGGGCAGCATGCACTGGCAGTTATGCTTTGCATCTTCACAGCTTCGAGACAATGCAGAAGGATGCACAAGGCACGCTGCCTGTTATCACTTCCGAGGAAAGCAGTCCGATGTATTGTTTTTAACTCAGGCAACTCCTGCAGCATTTTCTAATATTCCCAAGGAAACACACAAGAGGCTTCCTTGCAAGATTAAAGTATGCCTTTACTTTGAGCAGCAAGGCAGGAGCGCTCTTCTTGGTGAGAACTCAGGTCTCAGTCATGAAGACTTCCAGGTTTGGGAGCTGGGCTCTCTTCCCACCCAGGTTCCAAAGGCAGTTGTGCCCCAGATCTGTCTTCTCTGTCACTCATTCTCATATGTCAGTCAAACCTGCATCATTTCCCTTGTGTTTCCCACTTTTTATGTAAGTGAGAGAGTTTTAAATGATTACTCACCCAAAATAATTACTTTTACTATCACCCAGAACCTCTCTCTCTCTCTCTCTCTCTCTCTCTCTCTCTGACTTTTTTTATAAGAACCTACAACTTTAAGAAATAAGATACTCTGACACCCATTGCACAAATAGCAGAAGCCCTTCCTCAGTACAATGGGCTGCTGACAGTGAATCCAGATCAAAGACCCTGAAATCAACCAAAAGACAATTTGGTGTTATCTGTAGGAAATGAAGCATCTAGCACATGCTTTCAGGTCATCCGACTCTGCAAGGGTGCTGAGCCTTTGGGCTGCTTCTATACTGAGCAACTGACAGCAGCACATCCGGTACTTGCTTATGGGAATAAATTCTGTCTAAGAGAAGGACAGCTGACTGGTCAGCATCCTCAGCCTACAAGAAGAGCCCACTCTGTATCTATCTGTAAATTCCCATCAGCACGTCTGACTCAGTTACTAAAAGCTGGGGTTTCTGAAATCTGTTGTTGAGTGGGTTGTATGGACCATCTTACTGGTATTGTTATAAATCGATGCATGCAAATTAAATACACAAAAGCTTTTGCTTAAGTGTCATAATTTCACATTAAAACTAAACAAGTGATATTTGGGATCCAAGATGTTCATAAACCAGGATATTTCATTTTTATAATGCTCACTAATACACACTACATATTCTTTTACAATGTAGGAAATACTCAGGAACAGGAGGAGATGAATTCTACGTGGAACCTCACTGGATTCCTTTAAATACTGCAGGTTCTTTGTTGTTGTTTTTTGTTTTACACTGTAGACAAGGCTGACATTACACTTGGTAGTAATGCTCCTGCATCAGTCTCCTGAGTGCTGAGATTACAGGTATGAGCCACCGCACTTGGGTTGGACATTACTTTCTTTACCTTTCCTCTCAAGGAGTTAACTGCCTTCCTATGGTACCCTCATCAAACTCAACAAGTGCTTTTTATAGCAATGGCTTTCTACTGTTAATATCATCATCTCACATACCTACTCTACCAGGCTTCCTTCCTGGAGAGAAGGGGATATGTCATGTTCTCTGCACTGCTCTAGTCACCAAATGAATACACAGAGAGTCATCTAGTGGGGGTAGATGCTTCCCCTACAGGAAGACCCAGCATCCAATGGGCTAATGAAGTTCAGCTCCTATCAAATACAGATAAATAAAGGTAGAGGTATATAATGTAACTATTTCATGTTAAAATAAGGTTGGGAAGAAAAAGCTTGGGGTATGGCTCAGTGGTAAACTGCTTGCCTGACATGCACAAGGCCCTAGGTTTGATCCCCACTACTGAGAAAGAGGATAAGGAAATGAAAAACAACTTTAGGGGCTGTTGCTGGCTAGGCTGGCAGCCTGAGTTTGATTCCTAGAACCTTCATGGTAGAAGGAAAGAAGTAACTTCTGTAAGTTATGTGTACACACACACACACACACACACACACACACACACAATGTAAAATCAGAGAAAGACAACTGATACACTGATATTTTAAGAGAAAAGCTTAAATGAGTATTTTAAGGTATATTTTATACTTGAATCATTACCTTTGAATTATATTTATTTTTTCTTCATCATTCCCTTGATCCATTACACAGACCCAGTGATCATACAGATCTGAAGAAAAAATACTTTCTGGGATGTTTCTCAGAAAATCCTAGATGAAGGAAAAAAAAAAGAACTCAAATATTTGAATCATTCTTATGCAAATTATGCGTTAAAAAAAAAGAGCCCTATCAGCTCTCCACTGAGTTGTGTGACTGGAAGCCCATGAGCTGACACGGTTCTGAGGACCAACAGGGATAATCACATCTGGACTGCTGTTGAAAACATAAAAAAGGCACCCTATTCTGCTGGAGCTTCTGGCCTGTAGACATTTTGGCAAGCTAACATGATGGGACCTGGCAGTCTGCCACCTCAAATCCTTCCTCCTTTCTTTGAAGTAGCAAGCTCAAGGAAATGCACCAAGTTATCTATGAGGTTTGTAACGTGGCACTCATTCATCCAAGCCCTCCATGTGTACTTATTCACAAGTGCTATGTGCTGCTGGATGTATTGTGGGATATAGAAATGAGCCAAGCAAGTGGTTATGACCTTAGAACATTACTGTCCAGTGTTGGTGCGCAATGACTTCAAGACACTTGGTTGTTCCTTATTTCCCCTGAAAAGAAGGTGCTTATGTATTCAAGGGAAGAAAACATGTAATAGGTGGGTTCTGGGAACTAGGTAGGGCTAACATTGTGTGCGTCATGTAGAGTAAATGCACATATTCATATTATCTTTCCTGCTAAGACCACAAATGGAGATGGGTGTAGAAACACCTGACTACGGCATAAGCAGGATATAATCACAGGTGTTTGCTTAAAAGATGAACTGACTTTGGTCCTCATTTTAGAGCAGTGGGCACTGGTTCTTGGACACCTGTCTGTGTCCCTTTCGGAACAGCACAAACTAGGCCAAGTTCAGTCTGATCCCCACCCAGTCAATATTAGACAGGGAGAACTCGGTGAAATGGCTGGCTACCTTCACAAGTACCTGCTTATGCCACAGAGACAGGTGGAAGTCTGAAATTAGGCATTTTAAAGTTGTGGTCACTCTCTCTGCCACTTATAAAAGCCACTGTGCAACCTGGTGCTTCTATAGTACAGAAGCTGTGGTAATGAATTAAGGTAAGAAAAATTAGTTAACTCTGCAGAATTCTTACTTCTTATGGGTTCCATTGAGGCAGGGACAGGCCCTTGCCCCATTGGCATACATGGCAATGTAAAGTGTAGGTCGGCACAGTAGAAGCTATTACTGAACTGTTACAAAGTGTCACATGGACAGTTGATAGAGGACCAGGGAGGCCTGTCAGCCATAACCAGATGCTAAAATAATTAAAAACCACTGTAGCTGTGTTGCCTACTTTTTTTTTCTCTCCTCTTCTTCATTTTTTTTTTGGGGTAAGAAAGGTTGGCTGCTTCTACTGTCCTCTGATTTTGTTATTCAATCATAAATGCTCCTAGACACTTGTGACCCAGATACACCCTCACAAAAGCCACTTCTGCTGTTGATAATTCCAGCTCAGGTGCAGCTGCAGCAGTACTTTACCAGGCAGAGTTACCGGGGGTGAAATCTGTATTTCAAAAGTGGGTTAGTGATAACTTCTCCTGGCAGTGCACCCTTCCCATAGCTGGAACCACAGGTTCTGGAATACAACCGCCCCAGCTAAGGAGGCGGGGAGCCCACTCGGAATTACAATTACTTGCAGTGCTCAATGAAATTCTTCCCTTCAATATCAGACCCCAAGCTGACCGGACTTTCTGGGTCATGTGGGATGAGTCTATGGACTGATGAGCTTCCCTGGAGGGAGGAAGGGCCAGAGTCTTATTGTCCTGAGCAATCTCTGACCAGTCACAGTTTGGAGAGCTAAAGTTATATTGAAGCAAAACTAGGTAAGCTAAAAAAAAAATGAAAAATATTTAAATGCCTTCAGACTATTTTCTAAAGAAATCTATGTGTAGAATAAAGGAAATGAGGTCTCCAGCTTTATCTTTCTCCCTAAAAGCAAATGAAATAGATGGGAATAAAAAAAAACCCCACAGTTACACAGTGAGAAGACTTCAGTTATATGCAACCTATTTAGCCAGAGTCTTCAATCATTTGGGTGCTTTTTCCTTTTGCTTGCTTTTGGACAGACCATGCTTCTTTGGAACAGTCTCAATAATTTAGCAGATAATTTTAGGAAGTGTGGTACTGTGAAGTAGAAAGCAAGCGAATGTTTCTACAACATGGGCTGTGCCTGCCTAAACTAAGGAGAGCATGGCCCTCTGTGAAACGTTTCTATGAGATGAGCCAAAGCTGATGGTATGTGTTTGTATGTGACATAGCTACCCGGTCAGCTGATTATGTTTCTGTATGGTATATCCTACATTGAAGAGTAAGTAAAACCTGCACAACAGATTGGATGGCCCTGGCTCATTCTCTGGAGTGGTATTTGTCTCTGCCAAACCCATAGCAGAGTTGAGACACAGACCATCAAGAAACACCTGAGTTCTTACAAGTCATGGTGTCGACTCTCTCTGCAGCCAGCCAATCACTGGGGCAGGAGAGGACAAGCCCTGCCCACCATATTTTCCTTAGCTTCAGGTCCTCAGATGGGACTGGGGCCTTGTCTACCCCTGGCTCAGTGTATCATAAACCCTTTGGGAAATGAAGTCTGGGCAAGTCTGCAGAGACTGTCACTATGGTCAAAAGCTCTGCCCACAGCTCACTTCTTGTTTCTTTTTCAAAATCATAGGACACTTTTAAGAATGCAGTGAAGAGACAATGTTGGAACTTTCTGACTGTGGCAGAAGGCCCTGTCATCCCTGCTCTGCTTTTAGAACGGAGTGCAGGGAACAGAGAGGACTTTAGGTGGCCTCAGCGACTCTTCTCCGTATTATGGCAAACAAAAACTCTTGTTTGGGTTTGAAAACGTCTTTAAGAGTGAGGAACTCAGGAAGGCAGGATGTTTGCTGTGGTAAAACACCGTCTGTGTGTTCTGATGGTGATACACAGTTTAACTCTAGTTTGCTTTTGTGTCTGGGGTGGTAAGAGTGACCATGGGGTGACGTTTGTGTCACATTAGTGGTGTAGCCTTCAAAGTCCAATGTTGCTTCATGAAACATTTTTGTTTAGATATAGATTCTAAATTATATCATAGTTCTTTGCACACAGAAATAAATGGAATAGATTTTGCATCTGGAATTAAAGGTTGGGGCCCACAGTGAGAAAGCTTTCCCTACCTTCAACACAGACGCTATCACAAAGACGGATTCACAGTCAAGGTGGACTTCAATTCCAGAATTCAGTTTCTCCTTTAGCTCTCTGCAAGACTTCATGTTGGCCGATTGCCTGAAGATGCCCTTTGTGAGGGGGCCTTTTTGGTTAAGAAAGGAAAGCATATCCTGTGAGGAAGCAAAGGAGATAAACTAAAATTGTACTTTACACACGCCAGCAGAGGAGCAGGTACTGGCCTTCTGGGTCTGTCAGAAGGCCAGGGTGTATACATTGAAGGGTTGGAGCAGCATGGACAGTTAGAAAGATTCAGATGACATTTTTAGAACATAGAGTGGTTATCACCAAAGGCCATGGAGGTGTAGGACCTGGTCCAAGAAAAAGTATGATCACAAGATTTATTGTATAACCTGCTGTCTATATAGTTAACAAGAGTGTAATCTTAAAATCTTCTAGAGAATAGAGTTTAAGTATTCTCTAATTTTGTTTTCTCCTCTGCACTCAGTAGACAGAAGACAACGGTGTGTGGAAACAAGCGATCCTAAGATCTAGGAGCCAGATGTGCCCTGATTTCCTGTACAATCTGAGTTAGGGTCTGTGTTTTACCTTTAAATTCATAAAGTAAGGGTGATGATAAGTACCCATGGACTTTACTATGGAGGATAAACAAGATAATAAAACATCCCACAGTGCCTGGCATTTATGGATATACAACAGAGTAAAGTCCCTCCAAGAGTAGAGTGCAGTGGGACAGACTGCGTGTGGGGAACTGGACAGGGAACAAACCCTGCTTAGAGGCTATGTTATCAGTGAGACAGTATGAACTCAGCAGTTATTTTATGTCCCATTCTGTGTACAAACAACCAAATCTTGATGCTTAAATATGTAAGATTTAAAGAAACTACTTTTTAAAGGCTTAAAACACAATCGGACAAGACTTTGAGAACAGCAGAATTGAAGACTGGATCTGGGGATTGTCTGATGACATAGCACACTAATTTGTTTGAGTGGGTCAACTGGATTGTCTCTTCTTACTACATTTCCCTGAAGAATCTGCAGTGATAAAATCTGACTTTTAGGTTTTGAAGTAAGGATGGAGGTTCTTAGCTTAAAGCCAGGGGGTATTTATAATCTTTGCACTTTGGGGACAGATTTACCCTGCAGCATGTTCCCGTAACTAATGGCCTTTCCTGTTCTTGTTCTTTTACAGATCCGAATGACACTCACCAAGATAGGCTTTGGTAGATTGTCGTTCTCACAGATATCTGGTAAAGAAACTCCAAAGAGCTGTCCTGGCATAGGGGATGTTGGCGACATGGGCAGGTTGTCCAGGTGTGTGCTAGAACCCCGCCAAAAAGCCCAGTTGATGATAGAGCGCCTCCTCTTAAATGTCTTCTGGCTGGAATCTAAGAAGCGAGAGCAGGAGGGAGACTTGTGATTCATTCAGTCTCATTTCTAGAGTTTTAGTTTATTTATTACAATGCGGATGGAGGTCCCTTGTTACCAACAATGCTAGCTAGGAAAGTCTATTATAAATATATGGCAAGTTAAGGAAGAATATGGTGTTTGGTTTCTTATACCCCTTTCTGGGGTAAGTCACTGCACTGCTTGCTGGCTTGAGTCTTGACACTAAGATTTAAAACCTAGGGAAGAGGTTACATTCCTTAGAAGGTAGTGTTCAGTTGTAGGGCACCTGCCTGCCTCACACCAGGCCCTGAGTTCCAGCCCTAATACTGTACAACAAACAAGCATTCTATTCTCATTGAACTAAAACAACTTGAAGCAGATAGTCTTTCATGTCAACACATGCTGTGAATTTAAAAGATGGAGAGGCACATAAAAAAGTGGAAGAGTGAGTTACTTTGCCATTAAAAAGGGAGTAAAACAGAGGGGAGAGGGTGGGGGAGGGGAGGACACGATGGAAGAGGATGAGGGAAAAGGAAGAGAGGTTACTTTTGTTTTTCTAGAAACAAAGAATGCTTTGTGTTCTGATGTCTCACTGGACCGGGAACAGAGACAGGAAGCTGGTGTCTTCCTTTTTGTTCTCCTTCTCGGTAACGGCAAAATCTTCAATGTATCTTTTTAAATATGTAATTTCAAGAGGTGTGTTGAAGGCAGCATGGTGTAGACCAATGAGATCCACCAGGGCCCAGGATGGTGGGGTGGAGACATCTGGAAAGAGACCTGTATGGATTGGCTGAAAGATCTTGGAACTAAGACAGAGGGAGCCTCAGCAGGTCAAAGGAGACAGGAGAAAAGCAGGGTGTGCAAGCCACGTGTCACTTGCAAAATGAGCTCACATCTCTGGCTGATGCCCAAAGCAAGCACTCGTGATGCAGATTCGAAACCACTTGATGAAGGTTCAGTAGAACTGAGCTTTGAAGAGCCTTAATACCCAGAAACTGCCTGTCTCCAGGGAGTGTTCAGGGGACTGGACATTAAACACTACCACATAGCCTTTCTACTCAGCTATGATGTTCTTCTGACCAACAGAGGAGCAAGGAAGACATGGTCAGCAGTACCAAATTCTAATTTCAAAGAATCCCTTGTATCAATCACTCAGTTATAAAGTAATTCAACAAAAGCTCTTTCTTCAGAATAATCTACTTAAGCCAAATTGTGGGATGTTAAAAGAATGAACAACGTTTTTACTCAACAGCATCTTGACCGTGAACCATTGCCCATACTTATCTTCCTGATGCTCCTATAAGCAAAAAACACAAGGAGGTGTGAAGTTCTCTTGACAGTGGAGTCAGGAGCCTACTTAGACTTCCGGTTCCCACATCCATTTAGATCGTCCCATTTTCTTAACTTTAAATAGAACAAGATGTTATCTGTCAAAAGACCTGGATGAAAGGATTACCAGTATTTATTAAGTATTTACCCATGGGCATGGTTGTGGGTTCTCTACTAAAGCCATCAGGATACCATGATGGACATCTCTTCATATCCGGTTTCCAAGGCTTTGACAGCTGGCCGTTAGGGTGCAGCCATGAAAGATGATTGCCACTCTGCTCGAATATAGCACTTCCTTCCTGCTGTGATCTAACTTCCAATCCAAACAGAACAAAGCAGGAAAGGGGGCCAATCCTTCGTTAGAGCTAGGAAGGACTTTGCCCACCAGGCCATGCAAATATCTATAAAGAATGAATGCCAATTTTTCTGTCTGGTTCGTACATCTTAACCTATTTTTACAAAACTGTCATATTTGGTTTTAGCGTTCACACATGTAAGAATGTTCTATCACTGAGTTACATACCCAGTTATCCTTATGAGCGTAGAGGGAGGATAAAGTCAAAATTGAGTCATGTACGTAAATATTTTTAGTGACAGTCACGCTGTTTGTTGTGCACGTAATTAGTGTGAGATGTCAGCTTCACCAGGGCTGAGGAAAACATGATGGATGCTTATTTGTTTTGCAGCATTTCGGTGCATACTTCTTTCTTTTTATTTTTTAGGAATTAATTTATTTTATGTATATAACTATACTATAGCTGTCTTCAGACACACCAGAAGAGGGCATCAGATCCAATTACAGATGGTTGTGAGCCACCATGTGGTTGCTGAAAATCGAACTCAAGACCTCTGGAAGAGCAGTCAGTCCTCTTAACTGCTGAGCCATCTCTCCAGCCCTACTTCTTTTTAAATGGCAAAAGCTGATGCAAAAAGATGCAATTGCCAATATTACTACTACTAATAATTAATAATTGTAAGAACCAAAGCCACAAGGATAAATACATAGTAACCTGCGTGTAAATTTAGCCGTCCTAGATTCTTTCCATGTTTACATGACAAAGCTTAATACTAAAAATATTAATTCATACTCTTTATGGGTAAAGAATAACAGTTGTTAACCTAAAAGCTTTAACTTGAAATTCTCTTCTGGCCATACAACTAAGTATTTTCCCCTAGAGTAGCACATTCGTGTGGGGGACAGTAGATTGACAGGGTACGTTGGGGTGTTCTGTGTCCTACCATCCTCTAGGAAGTCCAGTTCACCTTCAGTCTAGCCCTGGGTCTGTGCAGATGTGGGACAGCAGCCTGCAGATGTGGTTCAGACCACACTTCTGCTCACCCAGGGTCTCACTCTAGATGTAATCAAGTCATTTTATCTTTACTGACCTACTGCTTTGTCTGACACTGAGCAAAGCCTCAGGATGCATGTTCTCTCAGTCTAGCGACACAGGTGACCTTTTAGGTGTTACACAGGATACAGGTAAGACACACGGTAGGGGTAACGATCTGCTTGAAGGGACAAAGGTTTGCTAGCAGTGACCTTTTTAGGTACCGTGTGTGAATAATTTTAATTTTTATATCTGGAACCTTCCAATACAGTAGATGCTGCTCATTGGAGACTATTATCCCCAAGGGTAAATTTCAGGAATTTTTTTTTCTAGATCTTTAATATTTTTCTAGATCTTTAAATATTTTCAACTATGTTTTTACTTTAGTGTTTTGTCTTTTTTTAACTGCTTTAAGACTAAAATTTAAAGATTCTTTCATAATACAAACTCAATATAAAAAGCTTAAAACTTGCGAGGTTTCATAATTTAGGTGTTTAAAGCCAGTTTTAACCAACCCCTACTCCTTTTGGGTGGCAGGAACAACATAATTTCATGAATATAATCTAAGCTAGACTTCAGTTCTTTCCTTAATTTTTAAACAAAGATTTATTTATTTTTATGTGCCTTGGTGTTTGGCCTGCACGTATGTCTGTGTAAGAGTGTCATCAGATCTCTTGGAACTGGAGTTACATACAGTTGTGAGCTGTCATGTGGTTGCTGGAAATTGAGCTTGGGTCCTCTGGAAGAGCAGCCATCTCTCCTGCCCCTAGACTTCAATTCTTAATGCTTTGACCTCAGTTTCATGAGAAGGAGATATTTTTCTTAACTCGAGGAGGCCTCTCTCAGAAATGTAGATAAGGAGTTTTTTAGACTAATTATGGCTTATTTTAACCAGGCAGCATAAAATATTATCAGAAAGAAATTATCTTCCCTTGTTATCTCCTTGACAAATCAGATATTATTTTCTACAAGGCAGGCCATGGTAAACTACCTACTTCCTGGGACATCATGTGCACTTAGCAAATACAGGCAAATTCTATACACTCACAATATAGGCTGAAACTTTCTAGTCCAGGCTGCTAGGCTGATACAGATGTGATAGAGGGTGGTGAGAAAGAGTGAAGACCGAGTAGTGTTTCATTCATTTGACATGGTATCTTGACCTGTAGTCCAGGCTTGCCTAAAACCTATAGCAATCCTGCCTTACCCTCTAGAGCTTCCTTTTAAATTCTGATTTATACAAGTGATGGATTGGACCACAGAAGACAGGAAGGAAGGGGATGGAATAATATGGTCCTGTTTCCTGTGTTGCAGTGAAGCTGTGTTCTGAGAACAGTCTTCACAGTGGCGTGTGGGCTTCACATGGAAATACCACAGCAGCAAAGGCAGGCAGAGCACTGACAGTACTTCCACCAGGTATGGTGGCAGGGGTCTGTCTCATAAGGAGAATTCATGTTAATTTCATGTTGATAGGCACACACAGTAGGGCAGTGGGCATAGGTGAGGTTTTATTTCCACCATTCTATACTTCACAGTAGTCCAAGGAAGCTCATCTATCATCTTTATTGAAGGATTCAATAAAATGTTAAATGCTAGGTAAAAATTGCTGGATAACAGAAATATCATCATACAGAAACTAATAATTTCATTTGCAGAACAGACATCTAGATGCTTTACTGTAACATTCTTTTGTTTGTTTTGTTTTCCAAGACAGGGTTTCTGTGTGAAGCTCTGGATGCCATGGAACTCACTGTGTAGGCCAGGCCAGCCTCAGACTCACAGAGATCCACCTGCCTCTGCCTCCTGAGTGCTGAAGTTAGAGGCATGTGCCACAACCATACAGCTTTACTGTAACATTCTTAACTTGTAATTCTCCTGCCTCAGAATCTAGAGTGCTGGCATTATAGATGTATACCACTGCACCTGGCTGTACTCTAAAATTGTAACATATAAGATATAAAACTATTACAGTAAAGCCATTCTGGAAACAATTTGGAACAATTAGAAATTCTAAGTGCACCCTAATTCCAGCTGTATTCTCTTTCTCTCTCTTCCTCCCTTCCTTTCTTTTTTCTTTCTTTCTCACTAACTTTTTTTTTTTTTTTTGGTTTTTCGAGACAGGGTTTCTCTGTGTAGCCCTGGCTGTCCTGGAACTCACTCTGTAGACCCGGCTAGTCTCGAACACTTGAGCTCAAAAATCCGCCTGCCTCTGCCTCCCAAGTGCTGGGATTAAAGGCGTCTCACTAACTTTTGATGTAGAACAAAGGAAATTTCCACATTTCAAAATCTAGGTAACTACGTGGTAGAGGTGATTGGTTTGAAATGCTAAGAGGCAACTGTCAAAAGAAGAATCTAATAAAACTCCACAAATGCCACACAAGAGAGAAATATGCACAATTAAATTGCATTGTTTTTTATAACGGCATCAGTGTTTAGCTACACTTAGCTGTGTGAAATGTCTCGAGGTAAGTTTCATCATAGATAATAAATAACACCTGCATTGAATTTCTATGATTGGATCAAGAACTTCAAATCCTAAATAAGCAAAATGCTATCTCTTTCCCCAAACTTCCACTCTTCTCATCTACCGACACTGTGCTGGATCATGAACTCTACCAAGAAGAACTTTGTGGAGACTGCTTCTCATATATCATCTAAATAATTTTCTTACCATGCTATATCAAATGAACTACCTACAGATAAAAATTTTCAGAATTTCATTGGCAATACTTTGTATGACCAATATATTTTACTTTCAGGCCCTTACAGAAAAAGCCAGTGATTTCCAAAACGCATTCTCCATGAAAACTTGTATACCAAATACTGAGAAACTGCACAGCTACGTGAGTAGGTGCTGGTTGCACTTGCTCATGGCTGCTGCGGTGAAGGTGATTCATGTGACCAGGAGTGGGGCTTTTAACTGTTCTCTTCCGCCCTCATTTACCCTGAGCATCAAAGATGCAAGTGCCATCTTCTTTTCTAATACAAAACAAAGAGAATGCAAGTCACTGGGCAGAGTGGACAAAACCCCAAGTAGTTACTGTGATGAAAGGAAAAGGAACTTGAAAACCATGAGCTTAAAAGTAGAAGAGTCAGAATATCATTCCCCTTGGCTCAGCTAAATTCTTATGGGAATTTTTCATTCATCTACTAAAAGGCCCATTAACCAGTCCATTCATCCAGGAAGTATTTATTGAATACTTCACTTCGATTCTCTAAGTACTGTTCTAGGTGCTAGAATCTCATTTTAGGGGATAAAATCAAGGATTTCTCCAAAGCGGCACCTCAAAATGACCCAAAGATGTGCCCAAGTAGTCTTGGACTCTCAAACTCAGTTTACTGTTAGAGGAGAGAAAATGAGGGTTGTTACAAATTTAAGTACATTTGCACAGCTGATGTCTGCTGACTGTAATGAGGTGTAACATCTAGGGCCAGGTCATCAGGCAATGGGAGGGTTGACTTGTGTGTGGAAGTGTGTATAAGAAGCTGATTTGGATTGCCCAGCCAGTGTGAGTGACTATTTGGGGTTGGTCATTAGTGACGATGCCAAGCTGCCCTTCTGCTGTACAATTTCTTCAAAGCGCTCAACAGTCATCTGGAGACGGGACTGTCCTAGGCATGCAGTGAAGTGAGCAGGAAGGAAAGAGAGCTCAAGTCATCTGCCAGAGAGACTGTGACAACTGTAAGGTTCGGGTCATGTATGGATACAGAAGCAGGCAAACACAAGCGGGAGACGTGGTGAGAAAGTGGTAGACTTGGTAGGTGAGGGAAAGGAGGAATACAGAGTAGAATTGGAAGGTGAGAGAAGGAATATGGGCTTACAGATGGGACAAACATAAGAAACAAAAGCTGTTGCAATAACAGACCAGCTACACACTTTAGCCCAATAAAACATCAGAATTTAATGGAATGGAAACCGAGTTTGTTAAACACTTAAAGCAGGAAAACATTTTTATATAATGAGTTCTCATTATTACGTCCCTCTAAGTTTGGATAACTGGACACACAGTTTTCTTAAAGCAGGGTCATTCAGCAACACGGTTAGACATGGAGAAAAATGAAAAGTCGCACTTTTCACAAATGCTATGGTAAAAGCAGCACAGAACTTCATCTGCACCCAGCTGATGCCAATAATCTGTCCTGTGGAGGGAAGGAGGGTGGCCTCTGATCTTTCAAGGTCCATGCCCTCTCTTAAATCTCACTCCTGGAGTTTGTCTGTCTGCAGAAGGCAATGTCACTATTCGCTGGGTCAGCTGACCAAGGCAGACATAGCAGTACAGTATCAATTCCTATCACCCTTGGACTTTTGGTATCAATTTTCTCCTGTTTCTTTATACAGTCTTGCTTTAGACTGAGCTCTTTTAGTGCAAGCTTGGGTCAGGGCAAACTATAATGCTCTTCTGTTGAACATCACAGCTGCCATAATACAGCCTTTATTGGGGGGGTAGCAGTGAAGCAGCTATGTTCACAGGGAATTCATGGTGGATTAGTAGGCTACGGGGAGACCTCGGCAGAAATCATATTAGTCTTCACACAGTTATCAGGATCAGGATCCCTCCCGGTCAGCGCACCACAGTCTTCTGACATCCACTATGGACAGGCTCCCTTTTATAATGTGATCATTGAGGGGAACACATAGTGGAGTGTATTACAGTACAAAGAGGGCATTGAAGCACCTGCAGCATCGGCCGAGACTTCGACTCTGCAGTGGGCATAAGGTTAAAGGGGGGAAGGCTGTCGAGGGAAGAAGGAACAGATTATTGCCCCTTGTTCTGAGTGTAATCCAGTCATTCCTGCTGCTAGTTTACAGAACCATCTTCCAAAATTCCGTTTTTTCCTTTTGAAAATTCATAGTTGCAAGTTCATTTGGGTGGAAGTTGGGTCTTTTGCCTTTGTATTAAACTAGGGTTCAGGAATGCAAGCTTTTGTTTTAAGAGAGGGTTCTATGAAGGAGGGGAAGCAACTCACCGCTCAGCTGCTGGGCTGTCGTCAGGCGGGTAGGTTTCAGGATAAACTGGCACTGCATCTCCCGGGGCAGCTGCTCCATGAGGAAAGGCTCTTGGAGCTGGGACGGGCTGGCGGAGTCTTTTGATCCCTGCGTCAGAAGGGCAGTGTCTCGGAGATGGCTCATTTTAATTCCATAAGGATACTCATGTCCTACAACAAGAAGAAAATCCAAATGCAGACTTCAGGCTGAGTGAGTGCCACCAGCAAGTGCTGCAAACTGGAGCACACTGTGGTTTACACCTGGGGCGTCTGTGATAAAGAATCCTTTTGTTCACTAAAAGATCCATGTGCCCAGTCTGCAACTGGGGCCTCTGCATATTGCAGGTGGCTCTACCAAATCAGAGAGGTTGTCTCACAACAGATGAAGGGTAACAGGAGGAAAAAAAAAATCTTCAAAAGAATCTTTAGAATGACTGTAGACATCGGTTTGTGGGTTGCATAATTGACCTCTTCTAGGTTTGAATCAAGAATATTTAAGAGCGTCTAAAAATAAGGACAAAGAGGCCTGTTTGGTAAAGATTACTACAGCCTAGCAACTGATTGGTGAGCCCCTGCATCCCATAGAGCCTTCTTCAACAAAAGTTTGCATTCCTGAACACACACTTAGTAGATAGGCGTGGTGGCTCATGCCTGAAATCTCAACACTTGGGAAGCTGAGACAGAAGTATCACTGTGAGTTTGAGGTCAGCCTGGGTGCCAGCCACACTGAAAGTGAAACAGGACCTAGGCTACAGAGCTCATGTCTCACCCTTGCATCCCCCAAATTCCCCAGAGATTTACCCTGTTATCTACCACATCTGTGTAAAAAACCATTTACTTATTGTTGGTTGCGGAATTAGTTGTTCAGCAGCCCTGGGACTGGTTTGTCTGATTTGCTTCTCTCTGAGATTCGTATTCATAGGAAACAATCTAAAGAAAAGTGTAGTGGGTTCAGAATACAGGTTCAGATGTAACAACAAATTGACTAACTAAAGCCTGGACATCTGACCTTAACCTAGTTTTTGTTGGCTAGAACTCCAGGTAAATCATCGGTGTGATATAGTCCTTCTCTCCTGCCGTGCTGCAGATTCTTTAGGCAAAGACAGTGTATTTCACTTGTACTCACTGAATGTAACTCAGCAAACCCTTCCTTTGCACTTGACACAGGCACACAAATGTGTTATTGACATTTACACATTACAGAAACCGCTAAAGATTAAGGCTAGAAGGCCCCTATAACAACATAATTAAAAAGTAACTCCTAAAAACAATGGCCAGCTAACCCACACTGCTTTGTAAATCAGAGGTTTTTAATTGCACAGTTTAGAGTTGTGGTCTTCAGTCAAGTTACTGTCTTAGTCCTAACTTACTAAAATTATTTGCCATTTTTAAATGATATCTTCTTATTGCTTATTCACTTTTGCATAAATGACATTTAAAACCAAACCTGTCTGTGGGAAGTGGTTTTGCCCTCAGCATGGCATGACAGCTTCCTATTTTCTGCATAGCAGAATACACAAACATTTTCTAGAAAAGTTTGGCTTCAATTACTAAGATCACTTGAAATACTCATCCATCCCAGAGTGACCTGACTGGGAAGGAACTGCAGGACACGATGCACGGGCACATTCTGCACAGTGTCCGACTGGCAGGCGGTGCTCTAAAATTGCTAACAAACTGTTGTTATGGTTATCATTTGGGGATCTGAAACAGATACCAGAATTTATTTTAATTGCTCTATTTCTGTTACTTACAGAGTGGAATTACTAACCAGTAAATATTTTCAAATAAATAGTTAAAATAAGGTAAGTTAAAATTTACTTCTCATTAATTCCTTAGACCAGCAGGAATTTCAATTTCAGGCCAGCCTGGACATTGTCTCACGGGCAAAAAAGAAAAAAAAATCCTAAAAACAAATGGGAAATTTGTCCTAGAGAAATTGAAAAGGGGACTATACAAGTTGGTAAGTTAGCCAGTGAAGACTCTCAAGAGTCAAAATGTGTTACTGTCACTTCCTTTGTGATGCTAAGGGAATCTGGGAGAGAGCAGATGTTACATATTCAGGGTAGGTGACACATACACAGTACTCTGTATAGAGGCAGCCTCGGCATTAGGGCAGTGGGTAGGAAAGAAAACAGGCAACTCAAGATGCTGAAAACCAGACATGTGCATGTAGCAAGAAGAATGACAATGCACACTGCTCTCTCATGAAGAAGATGCCCCCAATAAAAGGCTTGCCAAGATCTGCTTGTAAAGTAAAAAATCCAAGAGGAGAACATGTATTTTCCAACTGTAATCATTAGCAGCCCGAGAGAAAAGATCCCATTGTCTAGTTCATACTGAACACTTGATACAGTAACATTTAGGCTTAAGACTGTAGAGTCAAAGCAACACTATGTTATCTTAGACTTTGACAGACACTCACCAATGAGTGGGTACGGTGCCGCTTCTTTTCCAGAATTTACCCACAGTTGGTAATCTCTCTCAGAGCCCTTGAGATAAAAGGATTAAAAATCAAAACAAATCTTTCATGTTAGGTACCTGAGTGAGGAGAAAGTTTGGGCATTTTACACAATTTAGATTCACGGGTGCATCTGGTTTTGGGGGTAATAATACTTATTCCTGCAGCCATATCCTATTCAAAAACAGGATCCATCATTGTTGGTCCTCTCATTCCCACAGTCCCTGAGCTGACTCAGGAGCCGAAGACTGTAATGGGACCAGACCCTTCTTATCAGTGGCCCACCAAGTGTGAAAGTCTAAGAAAGCCCTTTGACAAAGGAAGAGTTCTGGTTCTGAATGGCTGATCCTAACCTCTAGATTCTCTGGTCTTCTCAGAGAATACTGGACTTAGCATCCAATGTGCCCCTGCAAGACAACCTTTCTGTCTACGAGACTACATCATTAAGTCTCAGAGGCTAGCTATTAGCTAGCTCAGTGCGTTCTGAGCAAAATGACCAAGAGGCTATCTGGAAATGAATAGCAGGTTGAATTGACTTCAGTTTGAACAACTCCATCCAGTCCTGGACACACAAGGGTTAAGCTTTCTCCTACAGAGTAGTCCCAGTCATAGAAAAACAATAAAATTATTCATTAGTAGAATTATAATCTAACAAAACTATAAATCCCACTTGAAAGAAATACTATTTATGTGTACTTTGCTGAATCCTCCAGGAGGGACAAGGCAGAATTCTTATATGCAGCCAGAATAGAAATATTCGAGTCTGTTAGAAACATTTCACTGTCCCGCCTTTAACTTGCAACTAAAAGTCAGGGTCCTGGCTACTGTACATGTACAGACTGTGCCTGGCCACATGAGCACATTAAGATCACTTGGTCCCTACTTTGTCCTTTAGACAGAGAGAAACAATCTAATAAAAACACATTTTAGATCACACTGTCAGATATCTCTTAGCATGGGTATCACTAAATAGTCTCAACTCCTATTTTCTTTAGAACTTGAGAAGATCCGATGTTAAGGAAGCCTAAGAAAATGCATCATGAAGTAATTAATCTCCCTCCTATCCTAAAACTATGCACTATGTTTGTGCAGGTTAGAAATCAATGCAGAAAAACTAACTTTACTCAGTGTATACAAAATTTAGTTATATTTCAATCATATTACTAACTTCTACTAATCAGATTATTTTATCCCAGATTTTGGTTGCCTTGAGTCATTAAATAGGCTTAGCAGCACTGGATAAGCACAAATCTAAATACACACAGTAATTGTATGACATCTGTTATGCCTCAGCCTAGTTTTAAATATTTATCACATTTATTATGTCTGTGTATGTGCAAGCACATGTGCAAGGACACACACCCACCGGGGGGGGGGGGGGGGGGGGGACACGCGAGAGCGGCGTGGGGGAGGCCCGGCGGAGGTCAGATGAAAACTTTCAGGGTTCAGTTCTCTCTTTGTACCAAGTGGGTCCTGGGGATGGAACTCAGGTCATCAGGCATCAGCATGTACCTGTACAGCAGAGCCATCTTGATGGCTCATATTGTAGTGTGTTTAAAAATAACCTCACAAATGTTTTTCTTAGTTTCCATTCTTCTGAAATATCCTAGTTAACAGAAGAATTCTTTGTGGGGTGCCAGCAGGGAGGCCAAGGGAGAAGCTGTCCAGTTCTGTTCTCTCTGACCTCAGTCTCAATATTCCAATCATTTCCATTAACAACATTTCACAAACTCACCCCAGAAAACAAAGGGTCAGGTTAAAAGCCAGACAAACTGACATGGCAAGCACGGTAAGTCTTGGTTCAAATCCATGGCAGAACTCAAAGCTGTGTTTTTATTTACTAATTCTTAAGAGGAGCCAGCTGTCTTCTTCAGGACTTGAAGCCAGTCAATATTAATGCAAAAGTATATGACAAAGCAAAGCCTTGAGAACTGGTAATCATCCAGTTTGAGTCTTAGAATAAAAACAGCACCAGAAGGTCAAGGAGGAAGGAGTGGCAGAAGTTACAACTCTCTCCTGCAACTTTCACCAGACTTCTTGTGTATGTATATAGGACATATAATAAAAAAATGCATATTATTACTCTAAAGTTCTACTTTAACCATTATGTTTTTTGGGTCACAGAGGTATTAAAATAGAACAGTACCGGTATGTCATGCTAACATAAAAGCTTTCCTGCTTTCTACATTTGAAGGAGGGGGCAAATGTAACTTTGTTATTAGTTGTGTTGTAATGGAAGGGACTATACTTATATCTAAATTACCAGGTATTATTTTGAAATCAAAATATCAAAGTTTAAGGAGTATCTAGGTGGCAGAGGCAAAGAAATCACATTCAAGGTTCTAGGCCAACCTGGGTTACACAGTAGGACCATGTTTCAAAAAGAAGACAATAGAGCAGAGGTAACTTACAGTTATCCCTAACATTTGTAGTGACATGTTGATAACTTCACTCGCTGTGTCTGAGTTCATTACTGTTATAGTTTTAAACTGCATGGAGAGAAATAGAAAAAATGTAGTCGTAAATGAAGAGTTCACCATTTTTAAGCAAGCAGAAATACAGTAGCTTTTTGTCTGTTTTGTCTTATTTTCTTCTATTTTACTCAAGGAAAAAGATAGCTAGTTTCTTAGGCAAAAGTTTTGAGTATTTTCTTCAGGCAGTGAGATCTGGCTTTTAAGAGTTGGTCAGAATATTTAACTGTTTTTTTTTTTTTTAAAACAAACAAACCTAAAACACGACTCTCATGAACCGCACTCACACTCACAGTGACTGTTACCAGGAGCTGCAGTGGAGTCTGCAGCCCACAGCAGCATAAGAGACACATTCCCATCTCATTCATAGTTGAGAACAAGCTCAGTTCTTTGGCTGCAATTTCAGCCATTAACGAACCCATAACTGAAGCTAACGGTTTAATGTTTACCATAGAAACATGGTGATTCCTAGATAATGTCACCTCTTTCAGATCCGTTCCTTGATCTCACAGATTTCATTCATAAGAACTCAAAGAATGAAAACATTCTCAAAACTACCCAACTGAAGGCCTGACAAGTTGGGAAGAGCTGATTAATACAAATAACAAATCCCCCCAGGCCCCGCCGCGGGCGCCTTCGTGGGTGTACTGCCAGCATCTGCAGCTGTTCCGGAAAGGATCCAGACAAATATTCATGCCCTGAGAAAAGATTTCTGATCAGCAATGTTCTATCCAGGCTACATGTTAAACATTGCAGTTAATATGAATTTCCCTCGTTACATTCTGTCTAGCATTTGGTTTTCATGCATTTAAAGATACATATAGATGCACACCTCTACCATGGTTACCTCTAAATGCCTGCTTTCTGTAGAACACACAGTCTGTCAGCCTGCTAGTCACCTTTTTCATCCACAAAGTTTTCTATCTTAAGCAGGGACCTGGGATTTAGTTTTCTGGCTTAGAAACACTTACATAGGCACAATTCCCAATGTCCTTGGCGAAGATTTTGAGGGGGATGCTCTTCGGGTAGTCTTTCTCCTTTTCTAGAGCAATGTATCTAGTCAAATGCAACAACCCAAAACAACACGGAGTCAAATCGGATTCACTAGTAGCTCATTAAAAAAAAATTAACTTATTTTGATAACATTGTCAATATACTTATATGTTCTCTTTTCTCATTTTTCCTTTTTTTTTTTTTAAAGGATACAGCACAATCAGATTATATGAAAGGAAGAAAAATTTCCCCAGGACATTAGGCACAGACCCCCCAAAGAATGGGCTATCCATGTCAACTGATGTTGGAGGTGGGGCCAGGTGAAGGTACCTATGAGTGACGGTTTGCTCTCACAGCCTTCCTGTCTCCTCTGAACAGGCCCTTCACCTTGTTGGTGAGTACCCGACCACATACTATACTATACAATGAATTTGCTTCCATTTAGCTGGTGTAAATACTGATTATCCATGGGGTGGGAAGAGGAGAGAAAAGAGAAAAGGGAAGAACTCTGCTTGTAACTGGTAAACCTATGTTGACCATTTTATTTGGTATAGTCAATGGCAGAGATAATAAACATTTTTCGAGGTGCTCTAAATAAAACCTTGCAATCATGGGGAGTGGAAATGCCCTATGAAGAAATGACTAGCTCATAGCTTGGAGACATCAGAGAGACACTGGTGATTTCCTTCTTTCTAATGGGATCTAATCAGACCCCAGTGTTCTTCCTCGAAAGAAGTGCTTGTAGTGAGAGAACGTTATTTACACTATGTTCTAGCCGCTGTACAATCTGAACAGTAGGTTATTTTTAGGCAGACAAATAGAGAAGAAGGGGCACCCTGGGACACATTTTGCAGTAACATGTTTGGTTTAACCACAGGCTTATAAGATTAAAAATATGTGAGTTGAAAAATACCTCTGAAGAAGGGAGAGCCATTTGTCCTTTTGTTCTGGAGAACTGCAGTCAGAAAACAGAAGAGGAAAAAGTCATATAAAATATTTTTTTTTTTGTTTTTTTTTTTTTTGTTTTCCGAGACAGGGTTTCTCTGTATAGCCCCGGCTATCCTGGAACTCACTCTGTAGACCAGGCTGGCCTCGAACTCAGAAATCCGCCTGCCTCTACCTCCCAAGGGCTGGGATTAAAGGCGTGCGCCACCACTGCCCGGCATCATATAAAATATTAATGTCAACATTTTAAAGCCTGCCACGTCAGGGGACTATACCAAAAGCCTGGTGTTACGAATGTAGTTGTGCATATATGTCGTGAGTGTCGTGAGTGTCACATCACTGCTTAGAAGATGCTGCAGGCCCTCGGAATGATCACACAGTCCAGGACCACTTTATTAGACCCACTTAGGTGGATCCAGGCACATTCTTCTTGATGCGTTACTGCTCGTTCACCAGTAGTATTAGGTCACAGAGGAGGGAGGTCCTTAGTGGAAAGGATAACTGATCCGGAAATTAAATAACCACATGTAAGTGAGCATCATGGGCAAGCCACTTGCCTGAAAACTGCAGTTTTTATACCTGAAAAGCTGGGTTAATTATTCCCTCCAAGTTCTGTTCTTTAGTTTAAATTGCCATTCATTAAAAAACACAAAGTATGCTTAATACTGAGATCAAAGTGAGTCTTGGCAGATGGACAGACATGCCTTGGCCCAGAAACCAGTCTATTGTCAGGAAAGGAAACATTTTTTTTTCCATCTCATATACACAAGGCAAAACAGTAATTTAGTAGATTTGTTTGAAGCAAACTTATTTTAATTACTAAAACATTTTGGTTAATGTGGATGTATATACAATTAAATATTATGTTTCTACTGCTACTGCTGAATTTGATGTTTAAAGTTAAAAATTCATCTGATTTCTTCTTATATGATCCTGTCTATCACTAACTTTAAAGATAATATTTCTAGTCTCTATATAGAAGTTGGAAAAAACGTTTCTTGTTCCAGAAAATGTTTAATACATATTTGAAATTTGTTGTAACTTTGTTGCTTAACTGTCTTCACACAACTTTCAGGGTTGGTAATCAGAAGGTATATTTATGCATTATTGAAACATAAAATCTTCATAGTTTTTCCTTGCCATCTTTCTTACACTTTTTCATTTAAAAACTTGATGTGTGTATGCTTGTATGACTATACGGCACATGTATGTGGGAGACCACAGAGGCTGGAAGAGGGCATTGGCATCGGGTCGTCTGGAACCAGAATTAGAAGTAGTTGTGAGTCATCTGATGTGGGTGTTTGAGACTGAACTGGGATCCTCTAAAGGAGCAGCAAGTATTTCTAACCACTGAGCTGTCTCTCCAGTCCCTTCCTTTGTATACTCCCACTCCAAGAGATTGTCTAGATTTGGTTACATAAAATCTTGATTTAGAAAAAAAGTTCTAGCACCCATATTATGAAATCAAAATCCACTTGTACCACACCAGGACAAGCAAGAGCCTTAAAAACACAGGAACCCACCGAGTGCTGGGACCTGCTGGGGCCTTCTTTCCTGAGTTAATGCCTCTTCCTAGTCTCAAATTCTCACGGGATCTCCAGAACCTTCAAGTAGTTGCTGTTTGTGTTTTGCTCTGGATTTTTAAGCAGTTATCTACAGTTATAACAGCCAATCTGTTAAGACTGCATTTTTTTTTAATACTACAGGCAGACCTTCTCAATAATTTTAATTTTGTGAAAGATACATAACTTGGAAAAATATTGTTTCCCAAAAAGTTATACACAGAATAGTAAACTCCTGCAATTTGTCAGCCAGCCGCATCCTCCATACTGTTATCCAGTCACAAGGCTGCCGGTCACTGATAACCAAAATCTTGACTTTTTTTTTTTAGATTTCATTAATTTTTTTGGAAATATATATATATTTTCTGTTCTAGAAGCCAACTCAGGGCCACACATGGCCTTTAGGGACTGTGTCTCCTCAGGGAATGTCTATCGTAATTTCTTAGTCTGTTTTCCACTGGCAGATTTGAGAAGTAGCAGCTGGGAAGTCTATGGGCTTTTCTAGGATTTGACAGATGTTTATGATTAGAGTTATGTTTTGTGGGGGGAGGGACATAAATAAACACTATAGAAATGAATTGCTCTTTTCAAAGTAAATTGAAGCACACATGGCATTTACATGACATTACTGGGGATATCAACCTTCATCGAGTGGTTAAAGAACCATGCTTCTCCCAAGCAAAACGGTCCCACATTTCATCCCTCTTAAAAAGAGTGGAGATTCTTGGTAACACATGGTCACCCCCATGTGTGAAATTACTTCCTTTTACCAAGCAGATTAAACATTGGGAATGGACATTATCTATAGAGAGCTGTCACAGAAAGGAAGAAATACAGAGAATGAAACAAATGTGCTTCTTCTGTACAGGTCCTGCATTGGGTCCTCAGTGCACAAGCGTGCACGGCATGGCACGGCCTGACGTGCCTGCTCCTAATTTATAGAAAACAGTTTGCAGAGGTTTAGCCTCAAAATGATGCCTGGAGTAGACGGGTGCTTCCTATGCTGTGTGGTGAACACTAAAATCCTTAAAGCGAAAATCAGTACTAGAGTTGGTCACTGAGCTAGGCCATCAAATAACCACGACAGGCTAAAAGACATACTCTGTATTCATACATCTTCTAAACACACACCAGCCTCGGAATGAGTCTTAGGAAACTAATTAACACACTTGAAAACAATAAATATGCTTCTGATTACCATATCTCTATAGATAGCAAATCAGAACTTAGCCACAGAGAGAGTACTTTGACACATTATCTGTGTAACAAAAAGCTACTGTTTTTTTTAATTGAGAGTAAACAAGTTATTCTAACATTATTCAAAATAACCCCATATTTAAACTTAACTGTGCTAGTTTATTGACAGCAAACGTGCTTTTTTTTTGTGGTTTGAAAAGACTGATCAACTTGATTAGTCTCAATACTTCACACAAACTTCTAGGCATTAAGAATGGAGGCTTCCTGGAGGACCACTGATTCTACGTCCAAAATCTCATAAATTATTTTCCTACCAATTGTTTCCATAAAACCTTCTTTAAAACCACCGGCTAGCCCACGGTAAATTGCCCTTCTAATCCCCAATATTTATCACTAACTTTTACATATTCTAACAAATAAGTCTTCAGATGAAAAGTCAAAGATTTGTATGTTTTTACGGACAAAGGAAGAATTGTTCAATGCATAATCACAGCTGAATAGTTTCCTTAAACACTAGGCATGAAACTGGCAAAACTACATCTCTTTGGCCTAGACATTGTTAACAGTATCTGACCCTGGCAAACTTAGGACAAGCTGCAGCTCTTACCTGAAAGTGGCCACGAAGTTCACTGTGGGCCAGCCCAGGACAAAGGACTTCAGAGCGTTTGTGTTGCCTTCTCCCACTTCGTCCACGCAGCTAGCTGTCCACATGTCAGTCAGCTTTATTTTATTCTTTATCTTAAAATTGTTGTTATATCTAGTGAGACAGAAACCAAAAACATGTGCTGTTGTTACTTTGTTTCTTGAGTTTTACAGGAGGTTCTGTGTTTGTCCCAAGAGGGCAGCTTCTACGCACTGTGGGCAAAGAAAGTCTTGTTGTTCTTGTCTCCAGCTCCCGAGTCACCAGACTGTACCACAGACTGTTATCCAGGCCTTTGAGACACTTGGGCAGGCTTAGTTCTCATGCCTGTATCAGTGGTAGAAAGTATCTATAAACTGACCTTTTCCATAAGTGGCGTACCACCACACTGGGATCAAAACCCAATTTAAATTTATTTTTGTGATAAAATATCTGTAACTTGCTTACTTTCAAAATTATTTCAACATATATACACAAAGACATGATTTATAAAGTGTTAAGTACTTCCATGTTAGGAGATACTGAAAATGAGCCTGGAGTTAGATAAATTTATAATAAGCTTTTAATAGAGTGGCTGTTAAGACTTTGTGGCTTCAGATTACCTTAAACTTCACTTTTTGAGTGTTTTCCTCCAATCATTTTCTAGTGTACGCTCATGAACACTGAAAAACTGGAACCCAACAACAGAGCCTAAACTAGACAACAGCAGCAACAAACCAAAGAAGAACAGAGGAGAGGCTAACACAGCCAGCAGCCAGCTCTGGGGACTGAGATGCTGAGTTCTTTAGTGGGCTGTGACTGTGTTTGGCAATTTCTTGCTAATCATCCTTAGACCCTTAACCTGGAGGCACAATATATTTTAACCTAAATGATATATTTAGTACTCATTGTAGTTCTGAGATGTAAGAGGGCAATGGGAACTATGAAGGGAATGCCCAGGGAAACAGATCTATCATAGGGAAATGGATCTCCTATCCCAGGGAAATGAATCTCCTAGCCCAGGGAAATGGATCCCCTAGTATTCAGAACCAAACATAAAGGCTGCAATGAAATCAAAGATACAGCAGGGGGACAGGAGCACCCAAAGCTGTCTACTACAGAGATTATAAAGCTCAAGTGAGATTTATACTGGTCCTTCAAGGACTTTGAAGCAGTGACATGAAAGGGGACTAAACACTAAGGGTGCACTCCGTTATTTCAGCAGATGAAGTCATCTGGCTGCCACCCTGCCCTTCCTCTGAGGGTGAAGAGGGAGTAGTCATAGGTTTCCCACTGCAGGGAGTTCACACAGAGGCTTAGCCAGTTACTAACTTCACAATATGGGAGCATCGCTTCAATGTCTACTTTTACAAAATGGTTCTGAAAGTTAAAGCCTTTGGATTAATACCCACAGGTGCTATCAAATGCTTCACTCTTACTCCCACAAGTACACCTCTCTGATTAAACCTAGTTTTGCCAAATTAATACCTAGCTCAGCCAGAGTCTTATTTTGACTTAGTGTAGATTTAACAAGCGTTTATTTTTCTCTAGTGATTAAAAAATCACTTTCGGAGAATGAATCAGTTAAGGCAGTCTGATCCTTGTTGGTGTTCTATAAATAACAAGGAAGCAGAACGGAGCAGGCTCAGCAGCCACCGCTGTTATGTTAGCTGCCCGAGAGCTGGTGTAGAGCAGGAAGAGAACCTTCTTAGGTTCCCCTAAAGTCTAAACCCAACATCCCCAATGTATATATAACCTTAACCTTAACTGCCACTTCCCCAGGTGAAACCTTCATTGTCTCCCCCCCGCCCCCGCCCCAGGGACACCACAGCAACCTCCTGTCTGTCACCTTGCTTCTACACTTGATTTTCCTACAACCTAACTCTTTATGATGAGTAAATATTTCAAAAATATGGATCACATGATGGCACTCCTCAATTGAATCTAAAGATTAAACTCCAAACTCTCCAGTGTAGCTTAGTAACTGCAACCTTCCAGAGTCCCACAATGCTCTCTGCTTCCTGATACACTACTGTGACGTTCCCCTTTACACCATGCCCAGGTTGGTCTGTGTAGCCAATAGCACAAGTCAGAAATGATAGTGTTATCAGTTTTGAAAGACTTTTCATAGTGAAGGGACTGGGTACCATGTTATGAGAAATACTATATTGGAAGAGAAAATGAAGGTAAATGAACATCTCTGGCCAATAGCCAGGGAGAAACTCATGCTGCTAGCTTGCAAGTGGGTCCTCCAGTCAAGCTTCAGGGTCAGGAGGGCCGGTGTGCCCAAGCAACCGACTTAAATTCTCCCGAGTCCTGATTCAAACTGCACGAAACGCTGGTAGTTTTAAACTGCTATGTTTCAGAGGAATTTGTTATTTATTTAGTTCATCCTCTCAAGGTCTTTAATGGTTAGTTGCTTGTCATCCTTTAATAATTCTTTAACCCAACTATGTGCCCAACACCCTCCCTTATCATCTACTTCCTATTCTAGCACCTAAGTTCTGCTCTGAGTGCTGGGCACTGTCATCAACTCGTCTCACACACACAAGGATGCAAGCTCTCACATCCCCTCCTGTAAGGGTGGAGGCTGCAAGCTCTCACATCCCCTCCTGTAAGGGTGGAGGCTCCAGAGGATTAGAGCCAGCACATTCTTCACCGTCCCTCCTGTAGAACAAACGGGAACCTAAATTAATACTCTAATAAACAACTTAAAAAAACCAAGCTCCCCATTTGAGATATTAGCTATAGGCCATGTAGAATTGGCTCAGTAGCTAAGAACTCTGGCTGCTCTTCTAGAGTACCAAGCTTCAACTCCCAGCACCAACATGTTGGCTCACAACCATCTATAACTCTAGTTAGGGGTTGGGGGTGTAGGGTGGTGGTGGTGCACACCGTCTTCTGGCTTTTGTGGGTACTGCATGCATGTGGCAAAAACATCCATATACGTACAAACATGAATAAGGCTTTAAGAAAGATACTAGCCATTTAATGGAGGTCAGACCAAGTGGAGAGTGTGGTCTCTGTTGTAGGAAATTCAGCTTTATAACAATTACTTGCAGCAGCATATACCCTTTACTTACTTGATTTTGGCCGCGACAAACAGATCGTTGAATAGGAAAAGATGCCTCTCCTGCCTCTGCAGGCCTCTTTTAAGTTCCACTGGACCATCAATCAGCAGAGTCCTACTGGAGCACATGAACGACGACAGAAATGCACACGTGTCAATGCTGGCAGAATGGCTGTCTCTGAAAGAGACCACATGCAGCAAAGCTGTCAGTCAAAGGTGCATCCTCAAGACAGAAGTTTCTACAGTTGTGGATGACAGTTGTTTATGAACGTGGAACCCAAGGGCTTTTCTTTTTCTTGAAGCAGCAGCTTAGTATCTTTTCTGGCCTCAGTGCTAATTCTGCACACAGCTGTCTCTTAGAACTTTATTATGAAAAAAAAATCTTAAAATCAAAAATAGCTGCCTAATAAATGTCTGTCCAATTGAATGAGAGACATTGGTATTACTGTCTTATCGCTCTGGCTCCTCACAGCCCTAATCCTCGTCTTTCTCAGGATCCATTAGCTCATTTTCTTTCTGGCATTTCAGTATTACCTACCTGCTGTGGATCATGTGTGTCATTAACCAGAGCCCAAATGTTTACTTAACAGTCATCGCATAACTAAGACTTATGCAACGATGAAATGTACAAGGCATATACCCCAGTGCATATACCCTATGCACTCCAGTGCATAAACCCTATGCACTCCAGTGCATATACCCTATGCACTCCAGTGCATATGCCCTATGCACTCCAGTGCATAAACCCTATGTTTTGACAAATGAATTCACCTGTGAAATCTGAACTCCTAAGTCAAGATACAGACAATCATTCAAAAGAAAAAAAAAAAAAAGGCCATCCCTGTCAGTCACTATATGGGGCCATGTAAGGGTCCCTGGGTGGTTTCACCCTCTACAGGTCTAAACTAATGCTGAGTTCAATATAATTTTACACACCAATGACATAAAAATTATCCCACACAAGCACATTTTAGCCATTGTTAGCCTTCCTGCTCTGCATACCCAGCATCTGCCGGCCAATGAAGACTCTTTTGTTATGGTAGCCCAAGTGGCAGCAGACTTCTCTCAGCAACAGCAGCTGCACCTGCAGCCCCCAGATGCCCCTCCCCCACCCTCCTCTCTAGGAGTTCCCTCTGGATGGCATCTCCTTGCCATAAGCCAATCTCAGGTGGTGAGGACATCTCCACAGCCCTTATACACGGCAGAATCAACCACAGATAATACTTAAATGGACACAGGAGGCAATGGCCTAGCAATGGTATACAAAATAAAGCATCCTGTCTGGGCTATAGTTTGTTCTAAGCTTTGGTTGAAACATTTACTTCTAAAATGTAGAAGTTCAGGACAAGAGCCACTAACCTGAAGCAACTCAGGAGCTTTCATTATTTGCTTGAGGTTAGCTTAGGCCAAGGGTTAACTTAGGAGATTTAAAACAAAACAAAACAAAAGAAAACAAAACATCAAAAAAAACCCAAACAAACAAACAACAAAAAAAGCCTTTGAAAAGCTTTTACCTTTGAAAGCAAAGGATTTCCACACATAATAAAACATTTACTTCATAGTTAATATACCTTCAAATAGTATTTGGTGGTACTGTTTGGAAGAACCCTCAAAAAAAATTGAAAGATTATTTTTCTGTTTTGAATTTAGCAACATGCAAATCAACTGTCTGTAATTTTGAACTTTTTTATGTATGACAAAAAATGCTTCAAGACCTGAGCCAGCTGAGCCTTGGTTTAAAAAAAAAAATACATGTTATAGTACATCTGAAGAAAATCAAAATCACTCGGCACTTACATAATTAAGAACTTTCATCTAAGGGGACAAACACATAACTTTGGTGTTTTTAAAACTACCATCTTGGTTTTTTTTTTTTTTTACTTAAAATGCATTGTCAGACAATGATGAAGTATTTATTTTTATTCTGAGTGCGGCAGAGGTGTGATTATTTTTGTCTCTTATAGTATAGGAATGGGAGGAGGGTAAGATCATAGCCTTCTATTTAACTCTTCATTTAGACTGAGTGAGATCTACAAGTCATAATTAACAGAGCTCTAAACTGATTTAACAAGTACTGCAAACTGTGTAAAAATAACCTGCTGTGACTTGTGCATGAACATACCATTTTAAAGACTTTATGAAGCTATTTCTGAATGGCAAAGAGAATTTTAAGACCTAATTGTTACTAAAACCAGGGAACTTCCCCAAAACCTGGGATAGCAATATTCCCTAATACTTTCTAGTTGCGCTTATGGTAAAAATCAAGTTGAGTTTTAGATTAAGTTTGATACAGATAGTTGCTTCACGTTAAATCACAAAGCAGTGGCGGGAGAGATGGTTCAGTAGGGAAAGGTCTTGGGGTGCAAATATGTGCATCTGAGTTTGAATCTCCATAACCCAAGGAAAGCTTGGGGTGGTAGAACACATCTGTGTTACCAGGACTTGCTCAGTGAGATGGGGGCAGAGACAGGGGACCCCCAGATGCTGGCTGGCCTATTATCCTGTGTATGCACTGTTGAGGCTAATAATAAAGACTCTGCATCAGGGTAGAAAGGACTGACACCTGGGGCTGCCCTCTGACCTCCACACAAGGCTGTATCATCTGTTCACTGCTGACCCCACACCCCCAACACAATATACTACAAAGTAAAATAGACAAAAATGCTCAACTCTTCTTTAGAAACACCTATGTTCATAAGCGATAATCAGTATACTAAGTAGGATCCATGGAGCCTCAAGTCCTGGTACCTTACCTAGTATACAATTACCTTTCAGAAATTATTGAACACAATGTACTTCCTCAAAATATCCCCTAACTCACAACCCATTCCAAATGTTCTATCTTCTAGGATGGCGTTCTCGACTTTAAATTAGTCTCTGCCTGTCATCTCTTATATGATGTACACTCAGTCCTCTGCTTCTATAATATTCTCATTCAACATTTATTATGAATAGCATGTAATGCATATAATAGTGTTAAATTTTGCTTTGCTGGATACCTGACATATTCATTCATGAAAGACAGATCCCAGCAATCCAATAGAGGAATCAGACAAAAGAAAACAATGAGAAACCAGTGCCATATCAAACACCCAGGGCTAAGGCCCAGCAAAGCTACAAGACTGGATAGGTTAGGATAGTTTCTTGGAGGACCCAAAGTCTTAAAAGATGGGTAGACAGATCAATAAACATGGAAGGGCACTCAAGTAAAGAAAGTCTGTCAATCAAAACTATGTGTTCTAGTAACAGACATTCAGGAGGTACTGGATTATAGGACTGGTGAAGGCTATTTCCCTGTCTTGCCTAGAATACACCAGGCCCTAGGTTCAATGCCCAGCAAGACATACAAGAAAAAAAAAAAGGTGAGTAAACACTGAACAATAAGGCTTACCGCTTCTATAATATGTAACAGATACCTTAAATGAACTCTACTTTCTTGCTGACTCCATTCTTCAATTTGCATTTAATATTTCTAACAAACTGAAGCTTTTAAAAATGCATGATGCCAGTGATCTTAGAATGTAAACCGTCTAATAAGTAAGCTCAACTTAGTTATGACATGTCTATATCAGCTTTGAGTGGTATCCCTGCTGAGCTGTTCCAAATAAATTAGACCAAAAATAATTTGAAACAAAAGAGCACAGTGATTGAAACGAGGCTATGGAATCATTATTGCTACTCATCCATGTCGTACAGCAATAAAACTCAATTTATGATATATTCGGGGCCATCTTGAACATTTCAGCAATAAAACAAAACCTGGAAATCTAGTCTAAAGCATTTATGTCTTACTGATGGGTAAATAAGCAGGTACTGATGCCTCTCAATATTTGTCATTGTAATAAAAATCACACTCAAATTATGGAAAAATTACAATTAATTATACTATGAAAAGATTGTGGTGCCATACACACACACATATATATATATACATACACACATATATACATATACACATATATACATACACACACATATACACACACATATATACATATATACACACATATGTACATACACACACATACACACACACACACACATACATACCCAAATTAACTAGACAACATAATGAACAGAGAAATGCCTTGGATTGTGAGAACAGAGCCTAGAGATGATGCTAATATCATGATAAAAATGAACTAAGTTAGGACAAGGGCTTAGAAGGACAGATGGAACAATGTGTTTGAATAAACAGAATGAATAAACAGAGCCTTAAGAGCAAGAAATATACAAAGGAGCACTATAATCAGCAAAACATTGATTACAGTAGGCTGTATCTGTGGGAAAAATTACAGGCCGCAGCTGTGGTGGTCCGGGGAGGCTTCCATGCTGCGGCAGGTCCCACATGCAGGAGAAACATCTATGGTTCCAGCGGCCGGAGGCTTTGGCAGCAGCAGGCCCCAATGACACAAGGAAGTCCTTGGTTCCAAAAGGGTTTATTGTCATGGCAGATGGTAGATGAATCTGGAAGTACGCCCTGTAAAACTCAGGGCAGTCCCAAGTTATATAGGGAGGGAGAAAGGGGGAGGATTGGGGGAGGATTGGGGGAGGATCTGGGGAGGCATGTTTAATTTGCTCTGCCCTCTGGCCATCATTAGTATGTAAATCCCTAGAGCTCGAGGCCTCTAGTCACGCCTCTACCTGTGCACTTTGGCAGGGGCTGTAATGGCCGGCCTACGTGACTTGAGTTTTAAGGAGACTAGACTGCTTTTCATGACCCTGGGTTCTTGGGGCGCCCGGAACTCCTGCCGGTTCTCACGCAGAGTCTCGGGGTTCTAGGCAACTGCCCAACCATGACCCAGAATACCCTTACGCAGTCCCACATGTATCTATATTACAGTCATCAATATATCATAAAGAGTACATTAATAATTATATGATATGAATATTAAAAAATGAAGGAACACAGATAAGTAAAACAGAGTAGCAAGATGGAAGAAGGATGTGAGGGACAGATGGATGCCAATAAACGGTTACACTAATAGAGTCAGACCCACACACAAGAGGGTATTTCCTAAGAGTAAAGCACATAACTTCTTCACAGCCTTGACAAAGAAGTGGTCCAACAACATCAACTTTAAGAGTTTAAGGCACTTATGAGATGTTAGAGACAGAAGAAGCTTTTGTGATTGGTACCTCTAATGCAGCGATTCTCAACTTTCCTAATGCTGTGAC